GGATACACTCTAAACCAATTTTTAATGATTACTGTCAGAGCAGTGCTTTTTCTATTGAAAAGTAATGGCCTATGATATATTGAAGGCCAGATTAAATCATCCTGACTATTCCTTCCGGTCAAAGTCTCTAAAACTGGGAAAAAATTACTAGGAGATAAGCTTAAGTATAAAAAGAGGCATAATGGGTAAGATGTATAGAATAAAATTCCAGAATAGTATAATGTACTGTCTAATTTATCAAAATCTTACAGAGATCACAAAATCTTTTGTTATACCTATACATATGTATATACACTCTGTGTGTGTGTGTGTGTGTCTGTGCTGCTGAAGTAGATAACAATTCTGTAATCAAGCTGCATTTTATGTGTTTGGGGTTTTTTCCCCCTATATCTGGTTTTGTGCTTCATGGACTTTGTACATTCCGGTATGCTAAAATGAAAATAGCTTGATGGTAAAGATCAAGCTAAAATTTTGGTACTCCAGTATGATTTGTTTACATCTAATCTTGGAGAACTAAAATCTTAATCGTGTAGAATTTTTTTTTCTTGGTACATTAAACGCTGTTACTTTGGTCATAGTGTGTGACATGTCTGTAATATCCAGTCGTCATTAATCCTGTAATTCAGCAACAGGTTTAGTGATTAGAGTAGCAGTCTTTTGTTGAGTGTCTTGTTATTTGCCTGAAATTAGAAAAACTAAAAACTAAACTTCCTTTAAACAGGCAGGGGTTTGGGGGATTTTTTTGCTTGTTTCTGACAAAGAAGTTAAGGATGCTCACCTGTGCAACCAATTTGAGACTCTGCAAAGCAGTTATTAAAAAGGAAGTGAGGCAACACAGCCAACAGGAAATGCAGCAAGTATAAGATGAACAAAATTAGGCCTGAGGGATCAGGAGGAAACTGAGAACAAGGTGTTAACTGAGAACAAGGTGTCCACAAAATTGTGACAATAGTTGTAAAAGGTTTTTTTTTTTTAAATGTTTATTTATCTGTGATTTTTCCAAGTACATTTTCTAAGATGATAAATTTTCTTGCTTTCTGTAACTGAGTTTTTTTGTATTAATATGGATGTTTGAATTCTGTTCACTCTGTTCTTCATGCTAGCATTTACAGTGTTTAATAGTGTTAAGAGCCATTTTATTAAGATGGGGTTAAACATTAGGACATACAGAACTTGCAGACTGCGTGGAATTCTGTGTCCTGGAACTGTGTGTAGTTGGTGACATACTGCCAAAAAAACCCCAAGCTTACTCCCATGTATAAAGGCAACATTTGAAATATACAAAGTGAAAAGCTCAGTGTGGAGCTTTTGTACTATGATTTCTGTACCTGGAGTTTCAGATGTTATGTGCTTATTCAGAGGTGATTTAGTTGCTCTTTGGACTCTTGGTGAGCATGAGCAGTGCAAACTTTCTCCTTTGGTGTGATTCTTTATTATCTTAGTGCCTTTTCTTATATAGGTATTTTAGAAAAACTGTTGCATGCCTGTGTTTTTGAATATTCGTGGCATTTTTGTGTACTGTTGCATTGTCAGATTTAAGGGGTTATTTATTGGTGTCTTCTGAGTAATGAACTAGCATCTCCTGCCTAAAATGGGGCAATGTTTTAAAACTCCATTAAGTATGTTATCCTGCATGTTGTGTCATGTTAGAACAAGCTATTAAAAGAGATTAAATGTATTTAAGTGCCCAAATGAAAAGATCCCGTCTTGCTTTGAGATACCTCATCTTTTTCTGATGTTCTTTCTTCATCCATTGATTTGTCTGTGTATTTCATGCTGTTGGTCTCCTTTAAGTTTTTTATAGATTATGAGGTTGTGCCTACTTTTTATTTTGCATACTCTGCATCTGCAATGCACACCTTCCTTGCCTCATGAAGCGTGAGTGTTGGTGTGCTAAACAGTTGTATGCTACGTACTAAGTCAGTCAATAAAGTTTTAGTGCAGATGGTTTCCACCTTTTTGTCCCCATCACAAGGATGTGACATCCTACAAAAGTGGAATAAATCATATGAGCTCTGCCTGCAGGGTAAGGGTTGGGCGCAGAGCAGGGAGGAAGATATGGAGGTTATACTGTGTATGCTTAACTGAGCATTGAAAACTTGAGTTTTACTTTTGTTGAGTATTAGAGTAGCTTGTTGAATAATTAAAATGTGTTCCACTAGCAGAGGGAAAAAATCCTATCAACAGCTTTCTGACTTAGGCAAGCACTTTTTTGTGAAGGTGTCTTTCCCTGTGAGACCATATGGTTTTGCAGCAAGAAGTTTGAGTATACAGTTTAAGCATTGTTTTTAAAATACGGCAGAAGATTAATTTATTTCAAATTCCTGTGGAGAGTAGCATTGAAACTGATAGTTGAGGTACTTTGATTTTTACTTAATTACTTAGATTTATTTTTTTTCCCCAAAGTCAGTCAGGCACTTCTGCCCCATAACATTTAAATAGGGTTTAGTACTTCGTATGAAGTAATTGCACAGGCAGAAGAGGTATCAAGATAAATAGTTGTATATGTACTATATGTTTCATAGTAAAAAGATTACTAAAACCATAATTTAAACAAAAAAGTAATATGTTTGTATCATTCATATGTTTGGTAATCTTAAAGTGATTCCACACTATATAAATACACTTTTCCTTAAGAAGGTGATAGAGTGGATATTTAAGTAACCACAGGTATCCTTAAATTACAATTTAATTCAAAGTGTCTTTGCTTAAATTTGCGTCAAATTATGCAGGATTGAAGAGGCTCACACACTCTTAAGCAGAGTAATGCCTGAGCTCTAATCATATTAGTAGTCCTCAGAGGACAAAATATTCTCTCTCTTGCAAATTCTTGAAGGTTTTCTGTGAGTGGTGTGGCACTGTGTTTGGATTGACCTGATGGTCAGTTCCCATTAAAGGCCTTAGGACATCTGTTCCCACTGCTCCCTGCGCATCCTCAGGAGTCAGCTGAGTTTGTGAGTTCCCTAAATTGGCCCCTGCACAATTGTCTGAGCAGCGGGGGCAGCTCAGTGGAAGCAGCAGAGTCAGGGCTGCTATTTTCAGTGACAGCTGGTTGTTAAATAGACACAACCTGCAAAGTTAAACTTCACCTTCACATTCCATGATATGAGACACATGAGTGTCTGTATTAAAATATTGTCACTTTAACTTGTAGCTTGCTATGTCACCATTTATTTCACCCAGAGGAGTAAGCACTTTTTGATGAAAATAATTCTTGTTCAACAGAAAAGAGAAAAAAAAAAATCAGTAATTTTGTGATTTTTTTTCTTCATAGCTTTGAAACAGATTTTTGTGTGATCTTGAAATCTGATTCTTTTTAGACCTCTGTAAGTAATTTCTAAATGAAACATCATTTTCTTAAAGGTAGTTCATTTTTAAATCAAGACTTTTCCCCAGTATTTTAAAGAAACATGAACTTTATTGCTTTTTTCATGGTTTTATTTAGTTCCATTCTCTTATTTATAATTTGTATATGGGGAAAAAAGAAACCCCTACCAAACATGCCCCTTCACCAACCAAAAAACCACAAAAGCAAAATATACAAAAAAAAACCCCAAACACAAACCAACTGTCCCAAAACCCACAAACCAAAATAACCCCTTTTCAATTATGCTGCTGGAGTATTTAATTAAGGTCCAGTATTGTTTGAATTGGTGCCTTTTCCTCATTGCAGCTGGAGAAGTAACATTATAATTGTTGTTAATGGAGAGCTGAGTGGAGTAACAGACCTGTGGTAAAGATGCTCAGGTCTTTGGCCTGTGTAATGTTGGTTTACCATTTCAGGAAGATCACGTTCCACATGTGTAATGATGAGGACCTTCAGCCAGTTCACTGATTTGACTTAAAAGATTGACTACAACCTGTACTGGTTGAGTGTAGTTTATCATTGATATATAATCTCTGAGAATTTGTTGTCTTAAATAGATTCTAAGGATGTACTTCAGCTATATTGTCCTTATTTTTAGGAATTGTGCTTTTATGTTTTGATGACTACATGTTTTTCATAAACAGCGTTTTAAATTTCCCTTTTTACAAAAAAAAATTAGATTTTCCTTTTTCATATATGGTAATTACCTAGTTGAAGTGTGGGTGAAAGGAATAGGAAAGGGCTTTGAACAATTTTTTTGAATGGAAATACATGGTGCCATCCCATCTCACTTAATACTAATGAGCTATTCTACTTGCCCCAGCAGTAATGGGCATTAGTTAAAACAAACCATACTCTTTGCTCCTTTGCATCTAGCATAAATTTTAATTTTATTCTTACTAGTGCTGTGAGGTGAAATATGCTAACTTTTAGGAAATACATTGCAGCAGCTTTTCTGTTCTGATAAGTGCATCACTACAGCATACACAGGAAATGTCTTACAGGCTATATTAGTAGAGGAAAAGAAAGGCATGTTTGTCTCCCTTTTATAGCTAGCCAGTTCATGGATTTTTCAGTTTTCCATTTGCAGAGAACTTGTAGCAATTTGTTGGTTTTTTTTTACTTACTTTCTTATTTTGAACCATAAAGAGTCCCTGAAAAGGACTTGAGTTTTCCCCAATTGTCTTTCATCTTAAAATTTTTAAAATACACCTCAGTCAAAGTTCTGGGGTTTTTTCCCTGTTTTTTTTTTTCTTTAGCAAGCATAGTGTTAAAACATTCATTTGTGTGCAAATCACAAATAGTGGTAGTGCAAGAATGTTTAACTCTGGAGAAGGATTTTGTGTTATTCATCAGCCAAATGGAGGAGAACTTGAAGAAGTAGGTGTGAGGAGGAAAAAAAAGTTTGTTCTTTCTTCTGTGACTTAGGTTCTGTTGATTCTTGCACTGTTTTTCCTTTACTAGGTTGTCTTATATTATGGCTTCTTGAAATTTTAGTCTCAAGTGTAAACAAGCAGGAATAATTAATGTCCATCACAGGGTAAAAAAAAGCCCTCATTCCAACTCTTCATGCCTCTCAAACATCTTAAAGAAGCAAAATAGGGCACAAGCCCAATGTTTTTTTGCTTTTCAGGTCTCCTTTAAGAGCAGAGACAGCCATGATGCAGCAATTTTGGAGGTAGAGGCAAGTAAATGTTTTACTTCTTGTAAACATTCCAGTGAGTTTTTGCAAATCACCTGTATATTTGAGGAGATTCAGGTTGAAAAAGAACTCAGCCTCTCCCCCTTTCCTAAATTTGCTTTGTATGATTCTGTGTGAGGAAGAATACATTTAAGCTTGTATTGATTATAGACAGGCTTCACATCAGTTGCACACTGCTGCAAAACCCAACTGGTGTAAAACTATGTAGGTCTAATATTAGAAAGGTTCTAATATTAAGGTCTGATATTAGAAAGGTGATAAAAATTGTTGAAGTTTTTTCTTTTGAACTGACCTACTAAATGGAAATTTGTTGGGTAGGTCATAAGTGATTTTCTTCTTAGAGAAATAAAAGAATTGTCGATTGTTTCTTGCCTCCAGCTGCTGGTGTTCAGCTCTTTGGCGTTCTCACTTTGGACATCTGAGCAGCCTCTTATGCAGTGGTACAAAACCTGTGGCTATTTCTGTGCTAGGGACGTTTCTGAAAGCTCACATTGAGTTTCTCCTGATGTCATCACATCATCTTGAAGCCTTTATTAGAGTTACAGGAAAGAGTTATCCATCTGTTTCACTGGTTTTTTTTTAATTTTTTTTTTTTTTGGACCTTCCTATTCCTTATTGTGAATAAAAGGCAGAGAGTTTGCATCGTTGCATAAAAATACAGGATTACACATTTGGGAAAGCTTTGCTAAATTTCTGTTTTGGGAGGTGGGAAGGAATGTTCTAGTTCATATTAGAAGGTTAGAGTGGAAAGAGCAGAGAAGCTAGATTTTGGTCAGACAATGTGACAGAATAGTTCAGTGGGCATAAAAAAATAAATTGCTAGTTAATAAGCTGTATTGATCTAAATTAATACCTGTGCCAGTTTGAGAAGGGAGAGGATGGGAAGAAGGAGGTGGGAGGTCAGAAGAAGAGGAAACGTTTATAGTGAAGAAATTGACCTTTCTTCTACCTGTCTCTCAAGGATGTGAGCAAAGTGTGTAATTATTTTTGTCTTCAATTCATGTACAAAGCTGTCTTATTTTCTAAGGTGGATGAAACCTCTGTAAAACGTAAGCAAAGCTTCCACATAATGACCTTTTCTACCCAGTCTTATCTCCTTCAACTTTTGTAATATAGAAGTATATTAGGTTAAACTGTAAAACTTCCATTTGAGTTGTTGTGGGGGCAGATGAGCATGCAATCTGAAAATGTATATAATGGATATTTTAATGAAAGAATCTTGTAACTTGTCTTTCTAAGAGCAGAAACAGTTTAGTTTTTTAATAATTTTTTGCATATTTCTGATAGTGTACCGGAATTTGTTTAAAACTTGCTCTTTTTAGAAAAGTGACTTGGGTAGCACATCAAGGATTTACTCTGTTTCTGTAGTTTCATACAGTAATGACATTCTGTTTGCCTCTTTTAATCTGTCCTGTATTAATGATATTTGTCTCTGCATTATTATCTTTGGTAGCTCAGGGAAACAGCTAGTTGAGGGAATGTGTTGAAAAAAACAGAAGTTGAATTTTTTCTTAATAAGCCCTAATTTTGCATATTATGGCGACTTGCAGTGGAGCTGTGATAATTTGGTTAGTTACAGATCTTAGTAGGCACACGCAATTTTACTCAAAATGAGTGAGGATGTCAGCAAATTCATTATGTAATGAGTTTTTTTAGAAAATTACATTCCTTTGGTGAATGTTTCTGTACATTTTACCAGAATTTGTGGGATTCTAAATGTTCTTGTGAGACCAGTTATCTTTTTGGGAGGATGATGACGTCTTCTACACAGCAGTTGTAGGACTGCTACTTGAATGGGATCTTGAAGGATGCACATCTAGGCATTCTCTCCTGAAGGCAGCATACATATAACTATTGTGATATTTGACTTTGAATCAAAATTATGACTAGCTTTCACTTCCTTTTGTGCTCATGTTATGAGCCGGAAGTTTATTAAATGTTGTTTTCTAATTTAAAAAGTGGACATAATTGTCATAATTACTCCTTTACAGAAGTTATTTATTTCATTAATTTCACAAGTTTTGTTTTTTTTTTTTTTTTTTTTAATGTGTTGCACAGATGCTATATCTAGAGCTGATGCTAGTGTACAGTATTTTAAATGAAGTAAAAAATTGTGGTTTTCAGCTCATTAAGTGTAGACAGTGAATGAAAACTTCCAAACCCAGACCTTAAGGACAGATTCATTGAAGGACCAGGGAACTCTGTGAAAACCATCAGAGAGTGTATGAAGAGTTGAAATGTTAAAGTTCTATTGCTATGCACTGGCTTTTTTTTTTACTTTTTTTCCTTCTTTTTGGTGGTGTGTGTTTGTTGGAGGGATTCACTTAATTTTTGTTTGCTTTGGGCTGGTTTTTTTTCAGTGGTTGTGTTGGGCTTTTTTGTTTGGTTGTTTTTTTTGTAGTCACTGGATTGATGCTATCTGAGCAGTGAAGGGGGATCCTGAACATCCATCATTCCTGTGCTGTAGGAAAGGTTCCCCTAATATACTACCAGCAGTATTCTCAAAAGTCATTTAATGTCAGTGCCAAGATGGCACTCAGCTATAGAGTGTTTGCCATGACTGTTCCTATGTTTTAATCCAGCCTGGGGAACATGTGGCATGTGCTGGAATACTCCTCATTCTGTAGTCATCCTAATCAATAGAGTAGTTGCATTAAATTGCTTGTAAAGAAGGTTTGGAACAGTGGTCACACTTTTGAGTTATCTAGGTGGTAGCTTGGTTGTGTCAAATCTCATGTAATTCTAGCAAGGATTTGAGGCAACTGCTGCAATAGATCTATAATTACAGACTGTGTGCAAGGTTTCAATCTTAAATACAAGGAGAACTTGTGTGCTGAGATTATTTGAGTCAGGAGTTCTGAATTCTTTCAAGGACTCAGCTTTAGTTTGTTAGCCAGTGTTTATTGTTAGTTCTGTACTCAGTGGAAAATTTGATTTTTCTGTATTCTTCATAAGAGAGTTGTTTGGGTTTTTTTTAGTATGTTAGTTTACTTAATTTGCATTAATATCCCCTGTGAAACTACACATTCTTAAGAAGATTCCAAACCTCTATGTCTAGGTGAACTTTATTTTAGAGTTAATCACTATGCTGTGAATGACGGGGTATTTTTTCTTTGACACACCCTTGCTTAAATGCATGGGACATAGTGTGCTAGTTTCTCAGGTAAGCAACTGAGATAGCATTTGTAGTGGAAGGAAGCTGATTGCTCTGCAGGCCTAACTTGGAGTGGAAACTGAGTTCTCAGAATATTTAACTTCTGCTAGTAATGTATATGTTGTGGTAAGATGACATGTGGTGTCTGTGGCGCTTGCAAACGCCAGCATGTCCCCTGGGCAGTGAGAGCGAGGGGCTCCCCACCCTCAGCGCCTTTTGGGAGTGCCTGGGCTGCTGTGTGTCCTGCCAGAGGTGTGACTGACAGCTGGCAGCTCCCTGCAGAGGGAGATGTGCCCGTGCCCTCCTGTGTGCTCAGCCTGCTGCTGCTTGTGGGATGTGTCACCGAGCCAGTCCGGCCTGCTGAGCAGGCAGAGCCTCCTCCGACAGCAGTGCCTGGTGCTCTGTGAGCTGCCTCTGGAAGGCCCCAGCCAGAGTTGCTGTGCTGGTACAAAGAAGAGGGAAGGAGAAAGGAATGGAGCCACTTCTCTTGTGGCAGTGAGTAGTTGCCCCTGCAGCTGTGTTAAACTGAAGTCTGTGGAGGAAACCCTGCTAACAACAAAACTCAGAATAGTTCTGCCTTGGGATTCGAGACAGTTTCTTTCTCTGAAGTGACAGTGCAGTGTTCTAATTATACGCGTGGACATTGTGACCAAAGTTGTCAATATTTATTGAAGCAACCACTTATGGAAAAAGCTTAGTTTATGTTTAGGATTCTACTTTCTTGTTGGCACAAGAGGCACTTTTATGTCATTTTAATCCCAATGTACAGGGTAGCATTTAGCTGCCTAGGCACTTGAGTGTTCTTGCTATCTTGGCACACCTGGAGGAAGCAGGAGTACATCTTTGAGGAAATCTCCAATGAAGATTCATCCCAAGAATTGAAACAAGAAAGGAAAAATAAGAAAAATACTAGGCATTATCATATAAGTACTTGATGCACCATTTTTCGCTAAGGTCAGGATTGCACAAAGCACTTCAGTTTATGTATGAGGGCTGTTGTAACATTGATTACATCCCTCCCTCTCACCCTGTTTTTTCCAGTCTGACTCTGCCTGCTCTTGTCAAAACTTGGTTGTTATTATTTAGTTACAAATCGCAAAGAACCATTCTCAAGAATTGCAAAATATAGACTTTGACTTAAAACTCTGGCATTGAACCATGTCAGCCTGGTCCTAGCAATAAAAACAGCTTTGCTTTCTTGCACAAGGTCTCTTTCCTGCATTTGGCTGCTTGTAGCCCACAGGTGAAGTTCTGTTGGCAGAGTGTCACAGGTTAAAGTTATATACTCTATCCTTCCCTTCCCCAACCTATCCCTGAACCATTCTGAAAAAATCAGTGATGTTGAGTTTGTGTCAGCTCTTTTAATTTTTTCCTTTTTTTCCCCCTCATTTCTCTGAGGAGTTAAACAGTTCCTTTATGGCTGTTTAAAGGAACTTTACTTGAAGTTACTAAACTATTACCTAGGCATGTTTGGTTTGAGTCATGAGTCTCTTTTTTTAATTGCTTTGACAAACAGTAAAAACCTAAAGATCACAATGTCCTAAAATAAAGCTAACAACGTATCATTATAACAGTAATTCTGTTTTACACTGCAAGTCTCATTTGAGTTGATAGAAACAGTAGTTACTTCATGTTCTTAAACTGAGGTCACATTTTTGTACGTACAAAAAGTAAAAAATATAAACTTGTTACTATTTTACTTCAGTTGGGGGGGGAGGAGAGGAAATAGGGAAGATTTTTTTAGGTTTTTTTTCTCAAATTTGGCTTCTATGCACAGTTGTATGCTGCATCTGAAACTTTTCCATTATATTGTGGGCTAAGAGGTGGT